AAACAAACAAACAAACAATGCATTTCAAGAGGCAGAAGTGTTTAATTTTGGTAAAGTCCAATTTATCAATTTTTTTCTGTTATGGTTAAAAATCCATATGCTGCCTATAAGAAACCCATTTTAAGTATAAAACACTAATAGTTTAAAAGTGAAATGATGGAAAAAGATATTCATGCTAACACTAATGGAAAAGTTGGAGTAGATATAATTCAGAGTAAATAATATTACCAAGGATAAAAAAAAGTCATTTCATAATGATAAAGGGGTCAATTTATCAAAGGACAAGCAATACTAAACATTTATGTACCAAATAATAGATATTCAAAATACACAAGGCAAAAACTGATAGAACTGCAAGGACAGATAGAAAACTCTATCCTTCTACTCAGAGATTCCCATTGCTATACCTTCGTGTTTACTAGTCTTTTCTTCTAATTCCTAATCTGCTATTAATCTCATCCAGTGTATTTTTCATCCCACATATTGTAGTTTTCATCTATAGAAGTTCAATTTGGGTCTTTTAAAAATACCTTTCATGTCTCTACTTAACACTTTCAATAATTCCTCTAGATTTTTGAGCATGTAAAATACAGTTTAAAATAACCATTTTAATGTTCTTATTGGCTAGTTCTAACATTAGTGTCTGTCCTGGGTCAGTTTTAATTGACTGATTCCCCCCCACCTCGTTATTGGTTGTAATTTCCTGCCTCTTTACTTGCCTGGTAATTTTTGATTGGAAGCAAGATATTGTGAGTTTTACTCCTTTGAGCACTGGATATTTTTATATTCATTTCAATATTCTTGAGCTTGGTTCCAGAATGCAGTTAAATTACTTGGAAATATTTTGATTCTTCTGAATCTTGCTATTAAGGTTTGTTAGTTGAGGGCTAATTATTTCCCACCTCTTAGGCAATCACCATCTGAGTTCTGTTATAAATACCCCACAAATTATGAAGTTTTCTCATCTGCCTGGTGGGAACAGAAATTATTCTTTGTCCTGTGTGAACCCCACACACTGTTCCCTCTAACCTGTTCAGGTGACTGTTTCTCTGGCCTTGGGTAGTTTTCTCACACAGAGATACTGATCAGTACTTTGCATCACTCCAGTGGTCTCTCCGTGGGCAACACTCTCCTCTCTGATACTTTGTCCTGAGCACTCAATCAGCCTTGGCCTCCTTGAAATTTCTGCTCTGTCTTCTCA